CCCTACTTTCTGTCTCCCTGTCTCTTTTTTTTCCTGTTTTGATTTCTTCCAAAGGTAGCTTTGATCAATATGGTCAGCATATGCCATCAGCTACAGATCCCATTAATAAAATTCTGTGCATATAAACCTTAGTGTCTATCCTTTGTGCAACACTGGATCTTCTGCTTTCATGTGTAAATAACGAATGAATGATTCGTTGAATACATCTATAGCATCAAGTAATTAAGCTTCCATTAAAATACCAAGTTATGATTTTCTTTTTTTATTCTTTTTTTTTTTTCCCCCCAACACTGCCCTTTTGTGAGTAATGTGCGCTACTTCTGCAAAGGACAGCTATGTCTGCTGGGATGCGTTTTCACTGATTCCATATGCATTAAGGGATTTGCATAACAGAAAATTTGATCTTCAATGGATTATAAGGCAGGGAGGGTCATGTGGTACTTTTTACAGCAGAAGCTAGTTAGGTTAGAAGGTATATGAAAATAGTTCTTGTAAATTGGCCACAACATGAGCTTATTTCGATACTTGAGTATCAGATCTTTCACTTCTGTCTTTCTAGTATCTCCAACTTAACAATCAAGCTCCCCATGCTAGCTCTCAATCTTTGATTTGAAAAGATGCATTTTGGCTTGTCTATGTCTGTGAATTGCAGTCTGTGAAAACCTTTTTGATGGTCTGATTTGCATTTAAAATGCATGTAAAAAAACCAGCCTGAGAACTTGAAGAATCAGAAGACTTTGTTCTAATTTTAGTGACTTTCATTTTAACAGGATGCAGATTTTGGGGAACCTTTTTTTGCCATGGACAGGATGATGTCAAATATGAGAAACAGTATGCTGGAAATGCAAAGAAAATTTGTAAGTTGTTGGGTTTTTCTTTTGGTTTTTCTTTTTTTAATTTGATCTAAAATTAATTGTATTGGAGAATGACAGGTGTTTAAAATATTACTGAGGAAGTCCTGCCAAGACAAAGGTTACTAGTTTCAAGCAAATAATAAGAAAAATTTTTCCCCCGGATTATATCGTGGTTATAGTTCTCTGTGCTGTCACTAATTATGTGCTAACAACAATACCTTAAATGTATGCTTGATTGTCTAGGGGTTAGAGCTGCTGTAAGCTATCTGGTCTCTGGCTATTGCCAGAGCTGAAACTTTAAGTGAAGGAGCAGCTTAAAGTGTTACTGCACACTTAAAACCAACACAAATGCAAACACCTAAATGCCACCCTGTGTATAGACTTTCCTCTGATTTTATTTTCAGTGCTGTGTCTTCTTTCTTCACAGTCTTTGAAGATAACACTGATACCTATTAAGTGTGGCTGAGGATATTTACTGTGTTTCACTGGCCTTGTAAAATGCCTTGTAACCGTTGTTGCTAAAGTCTTATTTCACCTAAACTCTTTACACACCTTATACACTGTCTGTGGCAAGACTGATGTTATAGTTACATCTCCATTACTAAACTATGCCAGGGCAAATGTCTGAGTAGTTTCTTATTGCTGCCCATGTTTCTTATTAGTTGCTGTGTTTCCTGGCATGGGGAGACCTGTGGCCAGACAAGGCTAGGACAAGAGTGAGGGCATATCAAATGATCTCTTCCCAACAGGACATGTCTAGGGTGCCAGGACTGAGGGTTAATTCTTCAGAGAGGTATTCTCTTTCATAATAAGATGTAAGATAGTTTTGTAATCAGAATGTAAGAATTACCTATTATCCATGTTTTAATTTTTACTAATAAGTCTACATTGCTTGTAGGATGACCTGTCCATCCATCCAGATGCACACACATTCAGCTCCTCCTCTGTGATGACCTACTCCAAAATAGGGGATGAACCACCAAAAGTTTTCCAAGCTTCAGCTCAGACACGCACAGCTCCAGGAGGTGTAAGTAGTGCTGAGATACAGCAACAAGGTGGTATGTAATTATCAGAATCCAAGTACCAAACCACAGTCTCCTTCAGGTTCTTTTTACTGGAGACAGTTACTCTTATAATTTAGAAAAGTATATGTCTGTTTAAATATTGCTGTATATTAAAGGCTTCTTAAGCTAAAGTGCTGTTTTCTTCCTTGTAATTTGCATGCTTCTAAGAATACATCTAAATAAATTGTATGCCTATCAAAGACTGGAAAAATTGAGTGCCAGAACAGCTGATTCTTCAAGGCGGTCTCCAGTGTCTTTCTCTTTGCTATAATTAATCCTGTTCTTGTACATTTAAAATTCTGTCTAAAATATAAGATAGCAAGAGGCAGTCTGTCTATGCAAAACATGGCTTCAAATCATCCCCTTTACTCAAGCACTTTTAAATGCTTACGTAACGCTTCAGATGAAGATGCCCTTTCATTGACTTCCTTGCAGCTGTTGCATCTAATTCTGCTAAGAAATTTGAATTTGAACCCCGAAGCGAGGTTCATGAAAGACTATATGCGAGCAGTAAAGGCCGTTGAACATGATTGGCTGTGGGTTATGTTCAAGTTCAAGCAGACACTCAGTTATCAAGAAGGTTCTAATAATATACCTATGAACACAGTGATAAGTGGTTGCCTGGGTTTCCAGCCAGTCAACATGACAACCTAGTAATTAGTTGTCCCGTCGTGCTGAGAATATTGGCATCGGCTGTTATTCATTCTGTTGTCAAGGAGAACGTTGAAGACTTGTCTGCATGGAATATATTTAGACTAAGTTTCCCCCCCTGCCCCGCAATTAATATCCAGTATGTATGTTACTTAAGAAGCTTTAGGTGTTCTTGTTGAATCTTCCTGTCTGTTGGCAAAAAGAAAATAGACTTGATCTGTGCTTTGTTGCCATATTTTCAGCCAACACAGTAAATGGGACAATTGGAACAGCTTGTAAAACTTAACTTTTTCAAAAGAAAGATATAAAACCTTTAGGGAAGAAAATTGGATTTTTTAAAGACTTTTTAACTTCTTTGGTTGGAGGGACACTTAACTTCCCTTTTTGTACAGGTTAAGGAGACAAGAAAAGCACTTAAGGATTCTGAAAGTGGACTGGAAAAAATGGCTATTGGTCATCATATTCATGATCGTGCTCATGTCATTAAAAAATCAAAGAACAGCAAGACAGGTGATGAGGAAATGAACCAAGAATTCATCAACCTGGATGAAAGTAGGTCCTCTTATGAAGTTCTCTAATGGACTTTACACTGTTGGTTCACAGACTGATTTTGAAGTTCCAGATTGAAACACCTCAAAAGGGACTGTTTTTCAGACAGTCTGAAAGTCTGCAACTCAAGTTTCCTTAGTCAATAGAAATTTGGACAACTGAAGTAAAAGTAACCAATTAGACTTGAAAATGTTGTGTTATAATGTAGTTGGTATTGTTTGCTTGTGCAATAGCTGCTCCTATTTGAAAGTACTTTGATACCATAAAATATCTTTCAAACTTGTTACAGATTTTTACTATTTGCTGTGTGTTTGTGGCTAATACAAAATACATGTTTGAGATGTGTGGTTAAAATGCGTGTATACTCTTACAACACTGGGACTTTGGGCTTTTTTATTTTTATCTTCCAACCATAAGCTTACTGGCAGTAAGCTTTTAATTGTCTTTTACAGATCACCTAGAAATAGTTTACAGGCCATGTGGAGAGTCATGGACCACAAGTTTAAAAACCACTTTTCCCATCTTGTTTGCATTGATTAAAAATAAAAAGTAAACTTTCTTTTTCAGCTGAGGCCCAGACCTTTGATGAAGAGTGGCAGAAAGAGATTATGAAGTTCAAGCCATCTAGAACTAGATGCACTTTAGAAGCTCCAAAATACAGAAGTATTCATCACATACCCAAGGAAGGTGGATTAAGAAGGTAAAAAGTTTCCTACTGAGTAAGGAAATACTAGCAGCAGAATGAAAACTCAATTCTGAAGCAATCTGTTCATGAGCAAAGAATGCATACTGGTGGTCTGAGGAGAAATAGCATGCTTTATTCCTCCTTTCCTGGTGATGCCATGATCAACAGTGTAAGGCAGTACAAATGTTGTAGCTGCCCCAACAGTCATTAAACCGGGTTAGCTGCATTAAGGTATAACCCTTATTGAGGGCTAGGTTGGTCTGTTCTCATGGGTAAAAGGGAAGGCGCCTTCCATACAGTTGGAGACACACCTCTCTCTCTTCAGGGTTAGATTTCAAATGAGACCTTTTCTAATCTTAAAGTCAGGAGGCCTGTGTGGGAATGAGAACTTTACCTGTAAATGCCTAGACTGCTATCTGCCAAGCTTCAGATTTGTTCCTCTCGCTGTCAGTGGAAGTTGTGATGCCTTTGTCGCTTGCATGTTTGGTAGAGAATGCTACAGAAGGGAAATAACTCGTCTTCTGTTAACTACACAGAGCACTTATCCTCTAGAACTGAAGAGGTGCCAGAGGGATATTACAGAGGCTACTTTACCTTCAATTTCAGTTTTCAAACTAAGCTATTTCTTTTCATCAAGCCTGCAAGATGACGAAATGCTCCAACTCCATGGTGGTCACAATCAAAGTAGTTTTGGAGGGACTCTTGCAACTAAAATAACTGTACCTCCACTTAAGTAATTAACAAAATGTATGTTCCCCCACTACGCATCGTATGGTGGTTGTGACTGTTGCTGCTGTTTGTTTCAGAGAGAAACCACTTGCAGTTGCGGGTTCCAGGGACCCCAGAGCTCCTGTGGAGAATCTCAATGTGAAAGGAACGCATGTGCCCATCAAAAGCAGCAAAAAATAAATTGCTTCCATTCTCCACTTGAATGGAGTTTCTTCAGAGAGGATAATGGTGCTGCATTGCTTATGTTCATATAAGTATACACGTATATATGACCAATCTCTGTTTTTTGTTTTAGGAAGTATTAGTGTGCCTTGCTACTCCGATTGTTTGACAACTGAATGTTCTTTAAAACTTCAGATCCTTTGTTAAATCTTCTAGTTTCAGTAAATTGAAAACCCAACAACTTTCCACTTAAAAGCACTTTAAAGGATTATCACTAATTCTGTTTAAAAAAAACCAAAACCAACCAAACATAAAAGCTTTGATTTGGAAGATCTTTCTGTTACAACTGCACCAGTCTCAGACTTTTTATTAAGTCTGGTAATGAAACTACTTTTTCTCCACACTGTAACTTGCACAGAAAGTAAATTCTTTTATTTTGTGTGGCTAAAATAATTATTAATTTTCTAGGTAATACAGCAATCTGAATACACTATAACCACTATATATATCTTTAAAATCATATTGTTAATTGTCACAGAATCCCCAGATTCACCTTAACAGGAAGAAAAGCGAGGGAAATACTACAATGACATACTTTAAATAAATTTTAGTGTATTAGCATTCTTAAGCTCATAAGCTGTGCTTGCATCTCTTACTTTCTGTGCCTAGACTGTCAGGTTTGTATTTCGGAGCCTTTGTACACTTCCTTTGGAGGTGGCCCATTATTTTTCATTCTCGAAGATTCTCTGTAGTAGCTTTTGATTATTCTGTAATAATACCACTGTGTCTGTGTCTTCAGAAACTCAGCTGTAACTTAGTTATTCATCAGAAAAAGATGTGGGAGAAATTGGTTGACTAGGCAGTAGTTGAACTGGATAATCAGTGATTACACCACTCCTGTTCTAAAAAGGTAAGAGCCCTGCATACAGGAACCCATTTCCCCCGTCGGCTGAGACAAGGTGTGTCTGTATTCCCTCCTGTCCTGTTTTAGTGGATATAGAATGATCCTAAATCTAGCACTTGATCTCCCTTGACGTTGTTATTCTTTGGTTAAAGAGTCTGGTGCTCTAGAGGAAAGCCAGCAGTGACTGCGAACAGGAAAGGCCTTTGTAGTAGAAGGGTTAAGTTCGTATGCGGTTTTGTTATGCAGAATTGATACCCCCCATTGTAGCATAAATAATTTCTGTAGACTATAATGTTACAGCATTAGCACTATAGAGTATATTTCAAGGCTAAAATATTATAGTGGAGCCTTAAAAAAAGGCAGTATTTATATGGTAAAGGAAAATAGGTTTAGTAAGTTAAGATTAGTATTTGTTTGGCCAGAAAGGAAATGGCCTTTAGATCCTATGTTTCTGTGGATTCCCCAGATTATTTAATCCTCTTTATTAATGTGCAAAAATAATCAGAAGTGCTTTTGTTGAACTCTGACAAGGCAAAGACAATTGATTCTTTGTTTGTTTAATGCAATGGCCTCTTCCCGTGATTGGAGCAATTAGTGGCACTAAGTTTGTGCTATGAACCATTCTAGGAGCAGCCAAGGTAAGCGGGTGGTAAGGGGGTAGCAGCCTCTGACAGAGGTGTGATACTGCAGTCATGCTTGCTAGGGATGTCTGCTAGAACCCTGAATCGAAAGGATGCTTTTACTCTCCTTAAAAAGTAAGAGCACAGCTCCAGGGCCACATCTTCCATAGCCTGAAGAGAACATCAATAATGCAATAAATGTCACTGAGAATCTAAGGCTGCGGAGGTGCTTTCCAGGTATGTCATTTAAATTGCCCAGCAATAAACAACATAAAAGTTTTTCGTGTTGTAACTTGAGAAGAAGTCCTTGATTGGAGAGATGCTGCTATTTAATGGAAAATAGTATTCATCTGGCTACTTCTGTCTGTGCTTTACTGAGATAAAAACCATGATACATGTACATAATCAGTAGCACAAGTACATACTATGGTTTTATACTTATAGAGGAAAGAGGCTAATACTCATTACAGATTACCCTGTTACGCAAAACAAGGTTCTAAAATGTATACTGCAAAGAACTTGTTCTGTCTAGAAACATCTGAAACTGTTATTCTTTATTAAAGTTATTTATTATTTATGGCTATTGTTTGGCTTACTCTACACCACAAACTGACTTACACATTATGTATTTTGGGCCGCTTTGAAACAGTCTTCTCTATGGCCCTCAGTTTCCAGAAAACATGCGTTTACCACAACGAAAGTTTGCTAGAAGGGGACAGGGGCTGCGGGACTCGGTACGGAGATGGCCGGGCTGCTTCTCTGCTTCAGCACTGCGCTGGCAGACGGACGGTTCCCGGCGGGACCCGGGCACCGGGGGAGGTTTTTACACGGCAGAGCGGAGGCCCCCGCGGGAGCCGTGAGCCGTGCCCGGAACCGTGTGTGCCATTGCCGGAGCGCTTCTTCCTTCAGTGGGGTGCTGGCTGGAGGGGACGCACCCGGGGTAGCTGTGACTTTCCGGCTATCGCAGCGCGGTCTAAGCTGTACCCGTGCTCTGCAGCTCCTCCCCGCGTACCGTGAGGGGTTTTCTTTCCCTTTCCCCAGCTAGTTCTTTGCCCCGGAGCCCAGCTCTCTGGCTGTTTGAGGTCCGGCCTTTGGCAGGCAGACCCCGCGCCCCCCCCACCCCGTCAGAAAGCGGCGTGTCCCCGTTCCGGGCCGGGGCACACGGGGAGGGCGGTGCGATCCGGC